ATTATTAATAAATATTTACTATTTCAATATAAAAAAATATAAAATGATATCATACCATTATTTCGATTTTGTAAATGAATAAATGTTATATCAGTATCGTAAAGATATCGAATCGATATCAAATTTATAACAAATCGATGTCATGTATATATCGTTTCAATATTGTATCGACATCATTTTGACATAAATATGATATTGAATCAACATCGTATCGATATTGTATCGAAATCATTTCAATACCATTTCAATATTATTATCGATATCGTATCGATATCATATTTACATCAAAATGATATAGTAAAGATAAACTTAACGACCTCGATTCGATTATCATCAAAGTATGGTAAAGTTATCATAATGATATAGATTTGATATCAAATCTATATTGTTAGAATTTTTTGAGTTTCTGTAAAGTAGTTTTTTTTTAAAAAAAAAAAGAAAAATTTTAGATGATTTTAATATTATTTTTTCATTATTTTTTTAAATAATTTGTTACATGCTACAAAAAAAAAAATTAATTAATTTCTTTGCATATTATTTGTTAGTAATTAAATTTTGCATATAAATGCATGTTTCAAAAAATTTTTTTTTTGTTATTACATATATATATGCTCTATTACCATGAATTCAAAATAAGAAAATTAATAAAAATTTTAAAAATAAAAAATAAAAATAAAATTTTCTGATTTATTATATAATAAAATTAATTTTTTTATATTGAATTTTATTTTTAATATTTTTTTTTATATTAAATAAATGAGGTTTATTATATTTATTTTTATTTGTATTTTATTTTTAAATAAATGCGGATATTTATAATTTTTTTTATTAAAAATAAAATGTTTCGTAACCAGTGATATTTCTGAAATTTATATACCTGGCAATATATTTAAAATTTCCGATATAAATTCTGATTAATTCCCAATAGTTTTCTAATTTTCCTGACGTTTTATTAATAAATTTCCTATAATACCCAGAAAAATCCTATAAAATCTGGCAAAATTTCCTTCAGAAATTTTATGCTAATTCCTTAGAAGTGCCACTTTTTAGTGAACTGGTGTAATATATTATAGGGATTAGCCAATTTGGCTTTGATAGCTGCAGCTATAGCCAAGTCTCTATCTGTGAAAATAATTCATATAAATAAAAATTAGTTGCTTGCATTATACAATTGAGAATCTATTGAAATATTAAAGTTAATTTTATTTTCTATTAAAGCTTATGCTATAATATGAGTTCGATTATGATTATCAATTATTATAAATAATGATAAAGCCATATTATATTGATTTGTTTTATATGTATCATCTATAATAATTACATCATGAAATCTTATTCAAAGTTGGACTTGCTGTGGTAATATCTATAGAATACTTCCTAAATAACAATCTTCTCTAATTATATGTATTTCAATTACCCAACCTGGATCTTTTTTTTATAGGTTATACAATTCTTGTAATATATTTTCTGCATCATCTTTTTCTTTTATTCTTTTATATCTCCTAACTTCTTGAATTGCATTATATAAATTTTTTCAGTGAATGTATGTATCTGGATATTTTTTACTTAGTAATTGATATATAATTTGAGCTTTCATAATTGGAACTACAGAAAGGTATTCTAATATATCAAATTTCATTTTTTCTAAAAACTTATGAAATTTAACTCTATGAATCTTAATATTTAAATTCAATAGATAGTTGTGTTTATCAACTATTGTAGAAATTTTGATAATTTCAGTTGATTTTGAACAGGTTATATTTACATGCTATAGACAACTAATTGATCTAGAATTCTTTGATAATATTTTTCAGGACCATTAGCTTTTCTTAGTTAGTATTAAACTGCTTAGTACATTTATAAGTATATTTACAATAATATTATTATCATCATATTCAATTCTTCTTTTACAATATTCAAAACCATTTTACTTACAATATTGCAGTAAATATTTCTCTACTTCTTCGAAAGTTTCAAATATTTTTTCCTTTTTGAAGTGATAAATTATCATTTTCTTCACTTGTATAATTATCAACATCAGATAAATCATTCTTTGTATAATTCATATCAATATTTTCATAATAAAAGTTGTTTAAAGATTTGTTATTAAATTTCACAAAAGTTAAAGGTAAAAATTCTTGTATATCCATCATGAAATAAAGAAGTGATAAAATGAAAATTATTTAAAAAGAAAATAGTTATTGTAAGAAAGAGAACGTGCAAAAAATTATTTTATTAGAGTTTATTATAATAGTTTATTATAAGCAAGATTTAATTTATCAATGATTTTAAATTCACATCGGGTAAACAAAAATTTACTTTAAGTGAATTTTTCATAATCACACGGTAATCAAAATATATATGATAATATAGGAGTTATAATTTTACATATAATAATATGAAGTTATTTTTAGCTTTTTTTTATTTAATAATATTTTTTATTATATTCAGATAAATGATAAAGGTAATTGAGAATTTGCTATAAAATATTAAGTAATCTAAAATAATAATTTGATTGATCATAAATACTAATACTTATATTAAGATAAGAGATCTTAATATTATTTTATTTAAACATATACTAAGCATATTACGCATAACATAAGTTTGATTAGATAAAAAAAATATTTTATATAAAGTAAAACAAATCTTTAATAAAGTAAGGTCTTGGTCTTATATTATATATGATAATAATTGTATTCATAAATTGAAAATATTGAATATTTTTATAGATTTTACATCAATTATTGAGCTATAAATAGAAAAGGCAATATAAATAGATTAATTTATAGGGCTTAAATTAGTTTTTACTCTAATTCATCTAAATTTAAATATGATGTAATATTCTGTAGATTTATAATTTTCATTACATTTTAGAGTATTATATTATAAAATTATATAAATTTATAAGTTTGTAAGATTTGTGAAACATTATGATGAAATCTTATGTAGAATTGCAAATTATATATTTTATATAATATTACGATTGGAATCCTTTATAAGGTTATAATATTATAAGATTTATGAAATATTATAATGAAATCTTATATAAGATTACAAAATTATTATATTTACAAAATATTATGACAAAATCCTACATAAGGTTACAAGCTTATAAAATTATGAATTATTATAATAAAATTCTACATAAGGTTAAAAATCAAAATAAAATCTTATAAAATTTTATCATAGATTTAAAATGGTGATACATGTAATGCATTATTTAATGAGTAATGAGTAGGATTTCGCAATTCGATTTGATATTTGAATATTTGATTTGATCAAATTCAAATCAAAGAATGATTTATTTAATCAAATCC